ATTTTATTTTTCTTTTACGACAGTACGAACATCTCAAGCATTACTTGACATTGCAAAATCGTTACGCGTTTTATGCTATTATAGAAATCAACGTCGTGTTTATACATTTGTTTTTAATTTCTGGCAAAAAGGGCGCAATTGTGTCACTGCTTTAAGAAGAATATTCACTTGCGAATAAAAAGAGGGAAAGAGAGAGAGAGAGAGAGAGAGAGAGAGAGAGAGAGAGAGAGAGGCTAGAAGAAGTCGAATGTCTGCTTCTTCTTTTCCGCCGTTTCCACTCCGTTACCCGTTCGTGCTGCCAACAGCTGACATGGAATACAGACGAAGTTAACAAGGTTGTCAGAATATCGTCCGGAGCGTTGCAAATGGAAGTAAAAATACAGAGCATCGCCGTGTTTCGAATCGCAATGCAATAAATGAGTTGGTGCGTTAATGTTGCAAGTTACTTGTAACATTGGGAATTATTGGGGCGATATTACTGGGTCTCTCATTACCGTTTCGGCATTCGTCCATTTCGTTAGCCTTTTGTAGGACAAGTTAAGAGAGGTTTAACGATGTCGTCGTCGTGACGGAGGGGAGAATGGAGCTGGCAGCTTCTGGAAGAAGCCGGGGGAGCTTTATTAAAGCCTCCTATAATATTAAAGAGGCCGAGAGACTGCTAGTGTCTCGTACGTGTTTATACTGCGCGAATATAACCGCGGTCCCCAGAACGCATTTGGAATATACCGAAACTGTACGTTCTTGTTATACTATGAGATTATATAAAAATATGATCGCATTATTATACGGACGTATATTTCACTTTTATACAGACATATAAATTCACAGAGAAAAATTATTCTCGCTCAGAATACAAAAAATGTGTTCATTATAAACACAACGTGGATAAAATATCAAAGTGTAATATGATGTATGACGTGCTCCTAACTACGCCCGTAGTTGGCGTATTCCGCAAGAAATACTAATTCAATTCGGTAAAATTCTACAATTCAATTTTTTCACCACTCTCCAGGTGTAATATCTTGCGATTTCTCGTTGCAATTCCAGAATTATCAACGCCCGGGCTACGAAACGGTCGGCCATAAACGAAAAGCATTTTCATTCAGCCCCGCTGTTATCTACGTTATCTATTTTGCAAGGATGTTTACTACAGTTGACTCGTTGTTATGGCGCAAGATAATCACGCTACCATGTACGTTTTAAACGGGATATTCCCTCTTGGACGTCGTTATACTTCACGGCAATGTTACCCTGCGCGAGAAGCGTTTCGTCTGCGCTTCAGTTACAGCATGAGAGCCGAGTGACCGAGCTGTCGTTTCGTGGTTACGACGTCGTTGCCGTATCGGCGTATATTGCCAGCGAAAGAGACTCGAACCCTCGGTCCACGTCGGTTTCGCAGAAGGGATGAATTTTGCGAGCGCGGAAAGGGGTGGGAGGACATTCGGGAGGATGGGTTTACCCGCAGAGCTCGGTTTCAGGTCAAATTAAACATGAAGCTGCGCGATCGTTCTGGCCCGCGCGGAGCGTTTCCTTCACGGGAGATCCAGCGGATTGAGCCGAGCATGCGTCCTGCCTCGTGCGGCATCCGAAACGCTTAATTTTATATCACGGCCAGAATGAATGTATACCGCCAAGTTCGAAATATTAATGCCGACAGAAAAGAGGCAGCTACATCTTCATTTGCGTGCTCGCCGGCAGCAGTTGCGAGCAATTTAATGAGTGTTATGTAACATGTACAAACGCGCAAGTTAACTGACTCGTACGGAACAATAGGACGTGTTATTAAAATAATGGTTTGATTTACTTGCTTGTCTCGCCCGTTTGCGGTGAATTTACGAATCAGCTAATTAAAACAGTCATGCTCATTACACGCTCTATCACAGAATAATCTTTCGCTAACGTACAAATGATTGTGACGTTAACCCACACGGAGAACTCTTGTATTACTGGAAATTTGACGCGTGTTGCACGGCGTTACGCGTCATCGTTGGTACACATCACTACTTTTCTCTCCCCGTTGCCTGCGGTTTACCACGCTGAATGATGATATTAATTAATTGTGGGAACATTAGTATTACTCAAGCATATAGATGTGTTCAATTTGCTAAACAAAAGCGGAGCTGAGCGTAAACGTAATATTCAAATGTATTATATACAATATACAATAATGTTCAAAGTATGACGGTATCGTGTGATTCGTACAAAGCACTCGCGAGTGCTGCGCATAAATATGCAATTTAATGGCTAATAAATTTTCAAGCATCTTTGGAAAATAACGGTGGAACGAGATAATTAGAAGGAATAATATTATTTGGCAGTTTTATAACGTTCTGTAGGAAACTACAGATATTCCGGTTCCAGTCAATTATTATTAATACCTGAATAATAGTCCGTATCGTCGGGAATAAAAAAAACAGCGATAACGATACAAGGAAAAGAATTGAGGGAAAATTGAAAGAAGACCAGGACTCCGAACTACTTCGAAATAACGAGCGAACTTTCAAGGAAGTGTAGCACTTCATATAATCAATTAATCTCTAGAACGAGTGAGATGCTAATGGAGTTCGACTAAGTATAAACTAGAGCAAACTAGTATCGAGCCGAACGAACGCATCAACCTTCACTATATTTCACTAGTTCATATCTATTTATGCCGCAAATTCCTCAACTCGTAACTGCATAACTGTGGAATGTATTCACGTAAATAAAATAGTTCATCATCTTTGTTTTAAACACAAATTTCAGTAATATGTACGTACGTGAAAATAAAAAATAGGATAAGCCAGCTGTGAGCTTTTGGAACATAAATGGAACGTGAAAAGAATTGATGTAGAATGGATTGAAACAAACGGGTTCTATGACCATTGACGCATAATAAACGATTTCATCATTCATTTATCCCCCGTATCACGTCGCATTTGTTTCTCCATCGTTCAATGGCCCATCGTTCGTAGTTAGGACAATGTCCTACCTGTCATTTGTCTTTATTCGCAATTGACCATTATCCCTCGCAATAAATCTGACAGGTGCCGAAGAGGCGCGTGAAGGAATCTATCGCAAAGTGGTCATCGTAATCTCTGTTATCTTAAGCAGACCCTTCGGTTATGGCTCCTCGCTTCTAGCGGATTCTGCTTTGGACTCGGCTCTCATTCCCCCTGACGTTGACGGAGTATTGTTTCCCCGAGCAAGATTTCCTCCGAGTCCACTTGCTGCAAGAGCATGGATAGCGATATGGCAAAAACGAACGAGATTGTAATGAAATGTCAACTCAGTGTTTATTTTCCGCGGGCTTTGTTTGAATGTTTGATATTTGTTTAAGCATTCGATCAACCGTGCGATATAAAACATGTCTCTCGAAGAATTGAAATATTAACAGTGCGGCATTTAAAATGCCTTCTTTCTCGCGGGGCACCATATTATTGTTAACGATAGTTAATGTTAACACTGCTATTTTTGCAAAACATCGGAAGTACATCATGTATTTTGCTCGTATTTTACATATTTCGTATTTACATACAATTCACGCCAAATTTGGAAGATAAATGTTAGTTGTTATTCCTCCCTGGTGCTGTTTTGCTATAATTGAATGATTAATTGCATCCCCGTTCTCTCTCGCCTCGCTGAAAGCGTATATTCATCAATGTCTCTCGTACCTATAATTACAATTCTCAATTCAATGATAATGTTAACGTCGTTAATGGTCTTTGTTTCATCTTTGAATTATTTGTCAAGCACACACATCGGAGAATAATATATATCGCTAGATAAGATACGAATAATTCACTCGATAGTTAATAGTTCTGACCCATTTAGCTTCACGTTACATTATTACGAGTTATTTCAAATATTTATATCAAACTACTTCAAGGGAATTAGTGATACGTACAATGAACGATAAATTCGAGACAATTAGGTTATATCGTAGTCGGAATATCTACACTGAAAAAAATTTCTGGTTGAATATGGACGAATCAGATAATTTCTTTAGGATTTACCAGAATTCCTGTAATCCTACAGAAATTCTGGTAAATCCTAAAGGAATTCTGGTAAATCCTAAAGGAATTATCTGATTCGTCCATATTCAACCAGAAATTTTTTTCAGTGTAGACATACGAATTTAATCGCATATGATGCCTTAGAAGTTACATATAACCGTCTTAACACACGGGATTCTAACATGTTCCTTCAGCGAGCAGAAAGAACTTTATGCTCGCTGATTTTAATTCGCTGATTTCTCGCTAACCTTGCCCCGTAGCTTTTATTGCCCTCGCAGATCGTATCCCCGCGATTCCGTGGAATTAATTCGTTAAGAGGTGGAAGGTCGGTCGTCCCACCGTGATAGACGGGGTTCGTAAATTTTAGAGGTACACCTGGTACTCTAGCCCACTAGGGCGGAAGGAAGGAAGGAAGAGAGATGAGTACGGAGAGTAAATCCAGCTTCCGGTAGCAGGTCGGCTTCCCTGGCTGGAGTTGATCCTTGAGAATCTCGGTTATTCACTCGTGCTGGGCTGTCGATAACTTGGACAATCTTAACCCCACCCACTTTCTTTTCTCTTTCGCACTTTCACATACTCGCTCGTCTTGTCCATCATCTCGTTTGTCACGAAAGAGATCTTTGGTTTGGCTTCTTCACACATCTTCCGGATCAGCCTCCTCGTGTTACATCGCTAAATCCAATATCAGGCTGTCGCTTCCTATTTTCCGAGAGGATCCAGACATAGTCCTCGCCTCTATTGCGCTTCTACTTTTCCCTTTTCGTTTCTAACAAAAGCGATCCAAGCGAAGAATTGCTTTCGTATAACCGCAACTTGTTGAGCGAAGAGAATTTTTGAAACCAAGATGAAGCGAGCACTTCAGTTTTTAGCCATTTCACACTATATATGTATACACGCATATACACGTAGAAGACAAAAGTATTCACATCTCGCTTATATATTGCGCGGCAACGTCACTCACAGGTGCTCTTTTTTTATTATATTTTTTATCGTTTCATGTTGCAGGTGACTGGCATCGTAGGCAGAGCAGATGTTCTAGCGTGTATCTTCTTTTTGCTGTCCTTTCTTGCCTATCACGGGTGAGTATATAGTTTAATAATTTAAGTCTTTTACTTCTTAAAGTTTCATTTGATCCTCTTAAAAATTAATGAATACGAATACGGATGTACACGGTTTATATTAAATTTGAACTTACGCATTTTTTTTATTTATTATACGTTTGCAGCACAAATATAAATTTCCAAGTTTCGCGGAAAGAAAATATAGCTCAGTTAAGAAAAATTCCACGTCCACGTTTATATATCTATATTATATCTAAGAGTTAGAATACAGTTGATATACCTTCCTGCAAACTAAGGGAACTTAGGGGCTGCGCATACGTCAAGAATGTCGGGCGACACTTAACGTCGCGACGACGCCAACCTGACGCCAAAACAGCGACCCATTCGTTCTCATGAACATGGAGCTCGAAAATTATAAACTAAACTAATTTACCCTACAAACTACTATTAGTAGTTACGTGGGATCGTAAATGTGCCCCGAGTTACTCACATCGATCTTCAGCATGGGGTCTAAGAAGAATGATTCAACGCACAAAACAATTTCAATTATATTTCTAAAGAGACATTATTCTCGCGATATTCAGTTTACGATTTTACGGTAGATATACGCCGCTACTTCTCGGTGTAAGTTTAATTAATCGTAAAGAAGCTTAATTGTAAACTTTAAGCAAATTTCATTAATAAACTGCGCGGAAGAGCCTGACGCAACGAAAAATCTGTAGAAACGGACTGGATTGTGAGAGCGTAAAAAGCTTCCGTAGAGGTCGTACTCCGACATAAAAGAGGGTTTGCAGAAGACAAGAAGGTAAAACTCCGGCTGTAGGGCTAGCGTCGGGTGGCCAATGCCTGGCGGAAGGGTAAGATGCTTGTCTTCGAACCTAGGAAATTGATTACTCTTGGCTGCCTTTGAGTACTCTTTCTTCTTCGTTTCCTTCCACCTTTACTTCATCACCCCGCTCTATGCTTATCTACCTTTTTTTTTCTTTTCATCTAACTAGTATCTCTTAGTTCCTTCGCCTTCAATTCAGTCTCTCAACCATCTACGCCTCGCTTTTAAATCCTTCGGCGATTAAGCCGACCGATGATTAATTCCAATTATACATTTGGCTTATCGTCAAGACTCTCGTCAATTCTCTCGACTCTCGATCGCTTTGCTTCTCTATAGAGTTGCTGAATTCTCATTCGCATCCCGCCATTACTGCAACGAGTTACTATTAATCTTGAGCTATTATTAATCTTACTTAGGGAGCCTTGATGTAAATTGTAAGAAACACCTCCATTTTGTCGCGACCTTTCTACCTCGTTTTTATGAGCGGGTTCCCGAGAAGTCGCGGTCTCAACGGACCAGTCTCACACTGGTCTCGTTGTTCCTAAAATCCCGAAAGACATCTCGGAACGGATCTGTCATTCAACGTAGATTGATGTACACGCCAACCGACGTAAACGAATAAATCCTACACGTCTTTGGATCAATGTTCTTGATGAGAATTGTTTTCCGATACCGACGCCGTTATTCGACCCGAAGAGAAAAATATATTGAAAATATCATGAAATACGTCTGTACGAGCAAAAATATAGTTATTATTGAAGTATAATTTTTCACATGTATAGTGGTTTTTGATTATTCTATTTACAATGTAATTCGTTTAGTAATTTTTTAAATTAATAACTTTAAACATTAATCTTCTTTAAATTAAATCTAGCTTTTAGAAAAAGATTACAAATTTTGAATATACATTGGTTTTTACTCTGCACTTTGTATCTTTTGTAATAAGAAAAAATTACAAGGCATTAAAATAATTATAACATAATTACAAGATGCTCGTGTATTTACATTACGTTAATTTTTAGCCGTATTTACCAATTATCTCAAGTCTACTGTTGTATAATATGTGAATAAAGATAATAATAAATAAAATCTATCATATTTGGAAACCTGAGATGGTAATCGATTCGTATCTTCTACGTAAAAAATACAATCCGATTATACAATATCTTTTAGTCTAATATTTAAATATTTGTTCTTTTTTATAGCCAGCAGACGGCTTACGTATGGTCCAGCGTTTGTCTAGGTGCTCTATCGATGTTGGCGAAGGAAACTGGCGTTACTGTTCTGGCACTAAACCTTCTTTACGATCTCTGTCGTTCCTGGCATTCAATCAAGAGGTAAGTGTTTAAGTGCTCGGTATTGAAGCATGGTACACGTTACGGCGAAATGTAAGGTTTAATGTCTTGAGGTAAACTTTAAATTGATATAGCTGTTTTGATTTCAGTTACAATACCGTAGAATCGATAAAATTAACCTAGGATATTTGTGTCGCGTCCGTAAAATTAGATATTATAGAAGAGAAAGGCATATACGAAGTTTAATCCCCACGTTAAAAGTTGTGTACAACAACAATGAAATCGCCGTGAATTCCATGTCGCATGTCCTGAGGCGGTAACCGTGCTTCTCGTGACGTTAGAAAATGCGACCAAAATATTTCGGCCTGTTTAAGTTTCGTGTCGGAACGTAAACCCTTTTCAAACATTGACTAGGTGCACTATTAATCATAGTGATAGTGTACTGGCGCAGTGTTCGGTATATTTTTTGTATTCGCGACGGCAGACGTATAATATAATCTGCAATACGAAAAAGCCACTGCACTACTCATACATACATGTATTTTACAGGTCTATTTTCGAAGCCAAGTGGAACGACGATTCTAGATATTTTTCAAGACGTGCTGCAGCGTTACTCGTTTCGGTAAGTTAAGCTAAATTTAGTACACCAACACGTCAAATCGCGTCTGTACTTATATATAAGGGAGACACAATTGGCTGTTATATAATGGCTTGTATAATAGCCATCCTCAGTTTCTTGACTCGTAATACCTACACAATAATAATGTGAATATATCGTGACAAAATCTTGTGTCTCAAAACGGAACCGGCGACACATGTTCAATACTTCACTGTCACTCTAATATCGCCTGTTGAAGGCAATCAATCATGTTCGTAAAGGATTGACGGGAAAGAATGACTACATAATGATCTGCAATAGACAAGTGGGTAATATTCAAAGGGGATTGAAATCCCCCTAACGCATCATGTACATTCGGTCGTGCGTGGAAGTCCCATAGGATTTTCAGACGAGTGGCAAGAGCGACGTGGCTTTGTTATTATTGTATTAACGACAATGTCTGCACTTTTGGTATCCAGGGAATTACGGGGATGTCCATGACTATGTTTATCCTTTTAGATCCGTGCGCCCTCAACTTATCACGTAACTGGATTAACGGAAAAATCAAGCTTCAGTAAGCCTCGACGGCAATTGAGAGAGAAGCGTATTGTATAATATTGATTTATCCTTGATTGCTTTATTCAGAAAATTTACCGAATCGAATCGAAGATATCAAGAAGAAGATAAAAATCTTGATGAAGCGATCGTAGACTGTTTGCAAATGTATATTCGCGTATTGTATTGTAACGTAGCTGCTAGAATTCAGTATTGTATCTGAGGAATTTTGGAGGGCCAATTTCATATTAGCCCCAACAACAAAAATTGAATTAAATAGCCTTAATCGATAGATTTTTGTTTGCACATTCCCACAAAATTTATTTCACATAATAAATTATTTTAATATTTGTTTAATTTGTTAAAAAAATATTATATGTCATAAAAAATATTATAAACAGTTAAGTAAAGGAAGGCTATGTGAACGCGATAACTTTGTAATTTTTGTCGTAAATTATTTACTTGTATGATAACCGCGATACTTTATCAAACCCTCTCGAAATAGAACAACGTGTTCTCCCGTTACACACTTAAATTCGCCGCTAGAATCGAACATCGACGATATTCATATCCATTCCGCGCAGATACAACGCGAATCGATTCAGTAATCAATTGAACCGAGAGAACTATGTGAAAATACACTCGAAATACGCTTACTGTATAATTCAAGCGCATAAATTCCGCGAGATACAAGTGCAGTTAAATAATCCACACATTACCGCATTCCGTTACTTAAATCCCTTAATTTGCGCGATAGCACATTGCAACACTCACCCACGAAAGTACAGTTAATTATAATTACGCGCAACACTTTATATAACACTTTTGACGTTACGTGTCACCGATTGCATTTCAAATAACCAATTAATTGAGATCGCGGATCGTATGAAAGTAGGCGATTAAAGTTCGGCACTCCCGTAACATGTTACTACGATTCCCACGAGCGAATAGATCGCGCGAACTACGTACCTGCACTTGACCAAGTCAAATGCGATTCCCGCATCGCCGATTGTGAATGCAACAGTTAGTTAATTGCACGGCAGATAAATGCGTATTGGACGTGAAAAGCGGTCGAGAGATCCTAACGGATGTGACATACGGAACAGTTCTGACCTGTCTGTCGGCGACTTTGTCTCGCACGGGTAACCTCGCGTGAACAAAGCGCTCCACGTTCGCCGGCGAAAACAACACCTTCATCAAGTCCTGATATTCTCCAAAATATTTTAATTTTCTAATATAGATTGTTCGTGCAAAAAGAATCGCGACACCGATACGTTCTATATCCACCGTTCTTATATTACGAATTAAATGGGCGACTAGTGAAGACAGTTGATTGATAAAAAAATATACGATTAAAATTAAATCTCGCACGCACAATACGTATGGGACTCGATAAGTCTCGCGAATGTAATGAACTGCATTGTTAATATTTTGCACGACGAAGAATTGTGACTGTCGGCGTTACTTATGTGTAGTGCGAAATTATGAAATATTATCGAACGGATGATTATTAATCCCGTTATTTGAATTACTCGATACGGCAATGTTACTGAGCCCTCTTTCTGCCTTTCGTAGAAAATCGAAGATAAGTTATATCATCGTGACTTCCTTTTTTTTCTGCGCTTTTTGCGTGCTCCTTCTCGCGCCTCCCTGTTCTTGTGCTGCGCGTAGTTTGGTTTATGAAGCAGTACCGTGTCTCACGATAAAAGGCGAAGAAGCAAAGAAATTGCCTTTATACCAGTATACAGATTCTCCCGGAGAAAAGCGTGGGATGTTCAGGTTGTTATACAGGGTGTTTCAGGGTAAAGTGTCCTAACTTAAAATATGAACTTAGGACCTCAAAACAAGAAAAAACTTTCCTCTGGAGACATGTCCGTAAACGCTTTGTTTAAGAGATATTGACATCTAAACATTTTTTCATTATAAAATTTTATGAAATTGTTATCGGGTTATAATAAATAATTTAATAGTGTGCTTCAAATACTTTATTAATAAAAAATATGAAAATTTTTACTTAATTATAAATTTTGTTCAAAGTGACAGCCTTGAACATTGATACAGGCTTGACATCTGTCTTTGACGGTAGCAGTAGCAGAGCGGCACTGAATAGCTGTAATTGTTTCACATGCTTGAATAATTCTTCCTTGTAAAGAATTAATGTCATTAACTGGCTTTTCGTAGAATTTTTGTTTAATAGTACCCCAAGCAAAAAAATCCAATGGTCCGTCAAATCCGTCAAAGACAGATGTCAAGCCTGTATCAATGTTCAAGGCCGTCACTTTGAACAAAATTTATAATTAAGTAAAAATTTTCATATTTTTTATTAATAAAGTATTTGAAGCACACTATTAAATTATTTATTATAACCCGATAACAATTTCATAACATTTTATAATGAAAAAATGTTTAGATGTCAATATCTCTTAAACAAAGCGTTTACGGACATGTCTCCAGAGGAAAGTTTTTTCTTGTTTTGAAGTCCTAAGTTCATATTTTAAGTTAGGACACTTTACCCTGAAACACCCTGTATATTAAAATAAATATCAGATGCGTCAATTCTTCGACGGTATCTATTATAATAAAAATCAGAAACGTGTTTTGTGACGATGCTGATTATAGTAAAAGAAGAGTCTGTTCTGACATTTTTAATTTCGTCTAGATAAGGACTTTCCCGTCGGAGTTCGGCCTTTGCTATAGGATCCCCTTAAGAAAACGATCGTCGCTCTTCTATAATCCACGGAATTAGCGCGGATCCCCTGTTCCGTGTCCGCATTAATTCTTAACGACCGATATCTTTCGTTTTTATCGCCTGGTTGTAGTCAGACATCGATATTTACAGCAACTCGAGCCTTAAGCAAATTTAATGGTCGTTACCATAGATACACTCGACGTGGAGAATTTCCCTTTACAGTCGCGGAAAATAAATAACATTCCCCGAACTGCTATGCAACACAAGACAAACTGTGCAGCAAACGAAGCGTGGGATGAAATAGCGGCAGTTTCAAAAGATCAACAGAATGATATATGATTCGCATAAATGGGTATTGTATAACACTCGGCGATCGAAAATATGGCATGGGCTTACCATCGGCATCCACGATAATAATCAGCTTTCTCGCAATTAATTTTGTTAAGTGACGGCAATAATTAAATGATCAATTTATCTTCCTTTAGGATTCATTAAAGTTAAACATCACATTTTAACTTGAATACACTTCAAAGAAGCGAAAAACTTGCACAGTTTAATTTCGATCGACATTTTATGCGTTTAATTTGAAATCCTCTTTGAAACTTGATTTTCAAACAGGATTTAAAGTTTTTGCGAATAGTAAAGCTTTTAAGAAGGCTCTCTCTTTCTAGTAAAATCCACGCAGGCGTGAAGTGACCTGAATCTTCAAAGGAGTCTCAAGTTAGGTGGTAAATTTTATCGATGCGAATTTCTCGTATTTTCGACACGAATCCATCGAGGTCACGCTGGTCGATCACGACACCGTAGGGTGTAACTCCTAAACGGAGTTTATGAGACGCTATTAAATTCTCGGCGCTTTACTATCGTTGATGTTCATACCTAAGAAACGCCGGGCTCTTGCGGCGCCGGCGCTCATCGTCTTTATTGTCGCGAATTAATTTAGACGGCGTCGTATTAAGTACCCTTACCAACACGGGAAAGCGCTTCGATAAAGATCCGGGGATAGCATATCTCTGACAATCAGTAAACGGTTGTGCTGTAACGTGTCCATTACCATGCGGGCATTGTATTAGCTACCGATCTTTTCAATTGTAAAATAATATATGAACAAATAACAATTCCACAATATTATAATAATTTTTCTATAAATTATATTAATCTTCCCGTAAGTTAGCTCTCTACGAGAGCTAAGTTTCTGAAGTAACGGAGTTGCGCATTAAAATTCTGTGCTCGCGCATAATTAGGCGGTAAACTCAATTGTATAATTTCCCTCGGTACAGGAATTGCTAAATAATGTATTTTGCCCTTAAAACGTATCGTGGTAAGTCAGGGCAGCGCGACCCATCACGTGGGCCAATGCGGGGAATAAAGGTTGCGCATGGAAAGTACTTTAACCGAACACGATTCTGAGTTATGCTAATTTATGCTGCCGAACGAGGGAGGCGTGCTTGCACACGACCTATCCTCACACACAGTTATCTACATATTCCGGATCTCTTTCCACCCCTGTCGTTTCCGCCATCCCGTAGCACTTACACGCCCTCAGGTACGTCGTTCTCAACGATGCTTCTCGGTCTTCATCGCTGGCAAGACCACTAATATTTCAGATATAATACTATATTTTAGCGAACGTTAAACGTAATCTGTCAGATTTACAAACTTCTTTATTCAAGCAAATTGAGACGAGACCATTAAATTATATTTTACTTGCAAAATGACATCTCATCGTTGCTTATAAAGGAGACAGGATATTTGTTATATTTCTACATTTGAAAAAGTTAACTTTCAAGTTAATTATATAAAGAAATTGCCGAAAGTTGCTAATAATTTCCTTTTTTTTTAGAGAGAAAGTTTTAATAATTGATGAATGAATTAACTTCTGAACGCTTTTAAATTGTTAACGAAACTGACTGCACGAAAATATCATTGCTATTGTATCGGAATAAGCACACTAAGGACGCGTCACACAGCTAACACCTAAGGTGACAAACCTAATCAATAGGCCAATCCATTAGAGAGAGAGAGGTACATATGTTGTTTACCGATTGTACATTGCTATGCTCACTGTTATCTGATTGGCTTAACGTTTAACTCTCGCTGTCTTACACGCCCTTAAGATACCGCGAACAAGGACAAATTATGATCGAAGCTGTTGTACCGGCAAAAAGAAATGCATTATCGCGATTGCTTTCTTCATCATTATTGAATTAGTCAATAATCGATATCTAATTGAACATATTAAAAGAATGCATTTTCGCAGAGAGAGAATCTTTAGCTTCAAAGAATAGCAGATATTAATGATATTAATCTGTAGGATGTGTCGTAATTTCTAATTTATTTCATCGTTATTGTATCCGGTCATTATACCACGAGGTATCGCGGTTGTGTATTCAACTACGGTTAAAAGTTCGCAACGTCGAAAAAAGACTGCATCAATATGCAATACGACATTTCGTGCGCATCGGATATTTATCGGAATTGAATTTCCGTCCTGCTCGCCGTATTCCGCAGGTCAGCCGGGATCTTCGTGGTGGCGTAATACAATATTCCAAGAGCTTCCCATCGAAGAACAAGGCCGGCATTGGTGTCGGACGTCTCGACAGGACACGGCGTTTCGATGACGGCGTTACGTATATACGACGTGTCCGTATGACCGCTTAGGATGGACGCTACCCTCGTCTGTCGACTTCGATCCTGGAGGATATGAATACCTCGAATTGGCAGATATTGTCCGACTCTCCAACCCTTCCAGAACCACTCACCGCCGTGTCTGTCCGCCGACAAGAATGCGAACGAGAGAGGCCCCGGATGTAGGTACAAAGGCGAAGAGACAGTGAGAGGGCCAACGACGTCCCCGGATAACTCCGGAATAAGGGATAGAGAGCGGTCTATCGGAGGGTGGTACGGACGTCTATTGGGTTAGCGAGCTCTGCGGAGGACGTGACGGAAATGTGACGACGGTCCTGTGTCATCCCCTACGCGAACGTGACGACGTCTTGGCGCAAGAGAGATTGCGAAGCTACTACCTTTCGTTCTTTGCTATTCAGGCCCGCGAATCGCGTTACTTAATTAAACCATTTAGCAGAACGTGACTGGTGCGTCGTGTCGACTGGTAACATTATTGCGAGAAACGTATTACTAGCTTCCTTGCCACGCATCTTACATCAGATGACGATAATTAACGTAAAGAGAAAATCGTATCACGTGGACACGGCATACGAACGCGCAATTAGTTTCACTTCGATTTACATCACCGCATCCACATCGTAATAATTTATACGTTTCTGTATTTACGTCTCTACCGTCATGTACTATACCAATAAATTGATTAAACGATTTGCGAGACTTGAACTCGCAGCTTAGTTTTCTGCTATTGTAAATACAAAAATAACATTCACGATTCAGTTATAAAGGAATGTATAAATGATAAAAGTTTCAAGTGTAAGTAGATGCTACACGAGCGCGTCTATTTTAATGCAAACACGAGACACTTGATTTAGTCACGTTTAATATTCACGTACATACGGTTAAAACGTTTTATATTTGGCGACTTAAATTTTTTTCCTATTTATTAGCACACTAAAAATACTGAGAGAGCAAGTTTGCAAAATTCACAAGTATTAGTTTGAACATTTTCAAATCCCCATTTGCCATAAAGTACCCGGACATTTCCACTCGAAAGAAAAATGTGTCTCTGTAACAATATGAAAATTTATCGACCATTTAATGTTTGCAGTTTAGCATACTTCTTGTGGTACGACTCGCTCTACTTCACGGTACTTTGCCGAACTTCTCCGCACAGGATAATCCAGCTGCTTTTCACCCCTGTTTCCACGTCAGGTGAGTATCTGTATAAATCCTTTATGTTACGCGAGTCGCGACGTGGAATCCTATTACAACGTTTCAAAACTCGCAGCGATTGAGAACGACTGGAAACTTTATACCATTGTCCCTCGTTGAGGAGTAACGTATCGCGTATACGTGAGATCAAAGTGTTGGATGACAATGGAAACAAGACGACTTTATCCTTTGATCTGATTCAGCCCGTATTCACCTCTCGCCCGGCGGTGCTTTCAGCAGTTGGAAACATTTAAGCTGCCATGTTTTGTTTGTTTGCTCCCGCACCTCCGCGAAAGAATGTATTCTTAGAGTCAATCGGACATTTATCCGATTACTTTCACGAAACCGACATAAGTAAAGTGAAAGAGACTGGACATTTACGCGGATGCATCGCCGATTTTGTGATCGTTATGAACGTAGGAAGAAAAGTAGATCTCTCTTTTTTTTTGTATACTCGTATACCATTTCTTACATTCTGAGAAAGAAATTTTCCGGGGGAATAAGCGGTATTAAAACATTCGCATAAAGACCCCATCTTTTATTTATTCGTGAGTTAAAATCTTCTAACGCAACATCCTGAGGTTCAGGAGCGTTAGTTGACTGTCAGCCAGAGAAAGATTTTCGATTCGTGCTCGGATTAAACCGGAAGTCTCGTCTGCCCAACTTTTCCACTCCAATTGCCTGTTTGCAACAGATTCGCGGCGCGTCCCGCTGCCCCGATTCGTTCGAGTCTCGCTCTCAAAGAGTTGGAGCGCGGTGCAACTTTCCAACGCTACTCGAAAAATCTCTCAGTTGATCTCATCGAAGACGGGCACTAGCGATACCACGATTCGCAATTTTAATCCACTCGACAACCACTCGGGACATTTTCTTCTATCGTTTTCAAAAGTTTTCTCGGTGGCGCGTTATAGGCGTTCGAAGAGAATTCCAAAATTGCGGCGTACGCCCGTGAAAAATTCTCTAATATATGATCCGATTTTACGGCTCGCTGAACATGTCCAGTAAATCCGATTCCGCTATATCCCGTAGTTCAACGATATCGCATGACCGCCGTATCTATTACGTCTCGCAAGGAACGGACGTGTCCTGACGTTTCACGTAGATGGAAAATGGAAATGGCCGCGTGATGTGATTCTCTCGACGCGACACCGCAAAACTTCCGTTCACGACGAGACTACGAAATATATTCACCTCGTGGAGCTCTTTTATGGCGAGCGCCACGGGACGGCGGCAGTCTTTTTCACGCTCGTGAAAATTATCTTAATTACAGAAGCGCATCTTTCGAAGCAGTCATAAACCTAATGCAATTAGTCTCCCTGCTCTAGAAAATTAATTAGTTATACCATTACATTTTCATGATAAAAGCTGCGTTTTTGTGCGTTTCTTTCGTACGTGACCGTCCAACCTGACAAATAAGATTCCCTCTTTCCAACGCTGACGAGGGAACGCTAATTAAATACGGAATTCTGTAGGTGCGCTTTCGTTTCGCATTGACTGAATACGACAATAAAACTGCGAAGAATGGCAATTGTAGATGCCACTTTAAAAGAGGGAAATGTTGGATAATTTTTACATATTAAGAAATATTGTATTGTTTCCATCATCGCACCCTGCCGTCTCGGAGACATATAGAAACGTATTGGAGCCGTGTTCTTGTCCTCCTACGTCGTATTTATTCATCTTCCTTCCTCGGTAAAATCCCGGCTTTCCACCCTCTTCACCTTCCCGCAGTCGAGTGAAGGGAAGAAACGAACCGGAGGGAGATATTAGGCGAAATACTTTCAAGCTGTCTGCTAGAAACCGGGCGGGAATATTTTACGAGATGTATAATTTGGCTGGATGTACCGTCGTTTCGCGGAATTTACGATCGCGCAAGCTTACATCGGGCCGGCATTTCGGTACAGCGCTCCGCGTCGTTCAAAATTCTATCCTCCCTCCGTTATCCCCGGTGCCTTGTCCTCGAAATATCCTCCTCGTCGGACGCGCACATGCGGCACACGCGGCAGCACGTGTCCTTTGGTGACGCTGCAACTTGAGGAGATTTGCCGGTAGAATGTCGTAGGTCGCGCGCGTGGAGTTTCCGCCCTAATACAGTTATACGTTTACGAGGTTCCAGAAATACCGGGCGACATATTTGCGATCGCGTGTACCGCTCGGCCGCTCAGGTGGTTACTCGGTTAGACCCTGCGGTGCTGCTGCGCGATTAATACGGTAATTTAAGTTTAAGCTTGTTAAGCGGACGACTGGCGCGCGTAACTCTGCGCGAGGCGCTAATCGCCGCTAAATAGGCTGCGATATAAATCATCCCGCGCTCGTCCGTTATTAACAAGGGCTTCGCAACGTTTCCCCGACAACGCGCAATTACGACTTTACGCAGGATGCGCCCGTGCCGCTTCAATCTCGTCTAGGGCCACGCAAGATTCGCGATTTTACATCGTCCTGCGACATCAGCTCCCTTATCCGAACACGCTATCCAATTTTACGAACGCATATTCAACATGCTACTTCGTGCACCGCCACGTTGAATCAAAGGGACGCGCCATGGACGCCAACACAAATCTTGTATTTATGGCAGCGAGAAGATGTTCTATTCCTCGGTCAAAGATTCGATGTAAATGTGTTACGATGTACGACAGCGTCCTCAAAACGAGTCTTGGGAGAAATTTCCTGTCGAGAGTAGCGAAAGAGTGTATCAGAGGTTTCCGCGTCAAGCTTGTACATGGTAAATGGAATCGTTAAAGGGTCCCTCCGGTTACGACAGACTCGCGTATATACCGTGCACGATCTTCGCAGTGATTAATTCCACGTCGGGTCCGCCCCATCGTGTCTCGGTCTATTGCCGTACCCATGTGCAATGATATTATGGGCGCCATACGCGTGTCATATCCACCATAGCCTGCGCCGGCTTTGTCGTAAAATATTAACACGCGGGTAGGTAGACTCCGTAAGACGATACGAATGTTACCACGAGCGAGATTTTTCTCAATAAAGTCCTTACAAGACACTCTCTCGTGCCATATTGAGTTCGTCGTAGAATATCACGCGAGTCTACAAGGACGTTAAAGATACAAACGATTATTGAAGATAAAATTGCGTGTGACAATAATCGAATTATCATCTGGAAGTCTCAGCTGTGTATATGTCTGCGATAAAAGTCATTCAGTTATATATGCCGTCATAAATACTAGTCGTGTATTTTTATTTTATATAATTATATGCTCGAATTAATAATTTCAGAATACCAATATACACACGTGTGCTGTTACGTATTAAGGATTCTAGCGGTTAAAATCGACACATTGACTCGCAACTCTTAATTACTATTACGGTGGAAACTGAATTGTGTATTAAATAAAGGTACGCAACGTCGTTATGATAACGACGAGGGAAGCAGTTCGCCGAGGTTACTGCAAGACCTCATTGTGTTCTTTAAATCGCCGCAAGAGTTCATTGGAATTTATGCAGCATAGTAACTTGAAACTTCTTCTTTACGTTTGTACGTTTGGAATACTCTCGGGAGATTTATAAGTTTATAAAACAGCTTACCTCTTAGGAACTACGGAATATCCCGGAAAATAGAAGGAATACGCTATAAATGGTTAACGTAAGTTTCCTCGTAAAAAGATTGTTCCACTTTCCTCTCCGTTTGATTTCGATATCTCTTTTGTTTCTTATGGTATCGTAACGTGCGAGGATAAAAAATTTATGTGTAGAGCATTGTGCAACGTTTACGATAATACGCATAAAATAAATTTACAGAAAATCCTTCGTCCTGTGAATGCGAATTACATACGCAGACACGCGCGCACACACGATCGCACGCGTACGCACAGGCGAGTCCTTGTTACGTATATCAACGAGACGTTATCCACAACATGACAAAGTGCACTTTGAATTTTTATCAATATCTGCGATAGAGAAGCGTTAGAATAATCATGCGCAATTCTATTCAATTGCGTTTTGTGCAGTGAGAGTAAATCCTTTTTTTTCAACATTTACTTTATTCAGCATGTGAATGACAATAAATTGTCGAAATTCGGAATATTCCTAACAATAGAAGAATGTTGCTGTCGACTACGCTTGTTGGATTTTAAATCGAACGAAAGAATGATTGGGACCGCGCTGCAATCCGGCGAGAGCTAGTCGAACCCATGTTGTCGCGTATTGACGTGATTTCCTCCAAGGAGGATGCTGAAACTCACTTTCATATTTATGAGCCACGTTATGCGAAAATGCAAACGTATGCAGCACCAGTCATTTACGGTGCACTGACAATCATGCACGACTGATGGAACTTCATGCATGTGATAGCGATAGAGCGTAATATAACGCCTCTCGCTCTCTCGCTTCTATTTCCATCGCTGTATGTATAATAGCATGTCTTTATGACGTAATCCTTTGACCGAGAATATTGTTACGAGAAAATTTGTATCTGCGCTCTCACGGCCATTTTCCTGAAAGTCCTGTTCAATCATCTTTGAAGTATTACTCTCTGTATTTTAATATCGCGTATCTCAATTTGTTCGCATAAAGTATTTTGCTGCATATTGCAAATAGCGGCCTTTTGAAAATACTTTGTAGTGCCTGTTACTTTGCTCTGTCTCCATGGAGATCCGAAAATTGTGATTCTGCGATAAAGCCTCGAGTTACGTATAATAAAACATGATAATTCCGATTTTATTGAAGACTCCAGACCTCGCGTTAGTGCGATCGAACGGAATATACGAAAGACGTCCCAATCAATCGAGAGAGAAAAATAGCGAAACTCACACTCATTGTTTCCCGTCTGGATATAATCCATCGAAGCGTTAAATCTACAGATCAGTTTTCGTGCGGACGTCTCATTGCCGGATGATTAATTCTTATGATCGGAAGTTTCCGCAGTAAATGGCGCTAAGCTCGAAGCTCCCTCATTTCTCCTTTCCACGTTAGAATCGAAGGACAATGGCTTCCCATTTATTAGTTCACATTGATCGGGGTGCAATTCGTTAGTCTTATTT